AGTCTTTCATTGCCAGTATGTAACATACATTATTCAGGAGTCTTCGTTTGTTGTACAGCAGTTTGGTCCAGCTCAACTGAAACATATCCACGCCATTCATTTCTTTGACGAGTTTAAAAAACAACATTCAACCAGTGAGTGCCCTCATGTCACAAGGATTGCATTCCTCCATGTGAAATTGAGAATCATACCCAGTCTCCTCTCCCATCAACGTAATTGTTGAATGTAGTTACTGACGAGCTGTTCCAGATCAGATTTGCAGTCTTTGTAATTGTAATCATTGAATGTAAGACAAGTGCGCCAGAAGCTCATGTTAATGTACTCAGTCAGTGTTGAGGATGTTCAAAAGATATGCTGTTCGCTAAGTCAGACCCATTTAAGTTTTTTAATTTCTCTCACTGAACACATTCACTTCAAGACAAATTCTGATTGGTGATTCTTTCATTTCCAAAGCTTCATTTAATTTGTGTATCCAGTCTTTATAGCATTCATACGAGTTGCTGTGGTAGTTAAGTGTAAGATTCAATGTGGCAAGTGACGTGTTTTCTGATAAAAAAACAAACAGAGGGTCCACACAGTGTTTACTCATCTCACCGCAGTTATTGACTGAAATATTTAGCGTTGTTATTGACATGTTTTGATGCAAACCGAACGGCACCCACGATTCGTATATTTTCTTGTAGGTGTTGACCATAATACTGAGCGTGGTTAATGACGTGTTTACCAATGACATGTTTCGCCACCAACCAGGAAAGTAGTTATCGGCATACACGTCCCAGTAGAAGTTCTCTGTAATACTCAGGGCGGTCACTGATGTGTTTTCTTTCAAACAACCACACAGCTCATTGTCCCAGTCCCAATTGACTTCACTGTAGATGTTGAATGTAATAATCAGCGTGGTTATTGACGTGTTTCGATTCAAACTATCCCACAGACCACGTATCCACCAGCCTGTGAATTCCCTATTGTAGTTGTTGACTGTAATACTCAGCGTAGTTATTGACGTGTTCTGTGCCACACCACTCCACAGACCACCCAAACTGCCTTTCTTCCAGCCATCGTACTGGTTGAATGAGAGGCTTAATGTGGCAAGTGACACGAATTTCGCCAAAACGTCGCCAGCACTACATCCCCAGTCCACTTCACTTGAGTTACTGGGATTATCCAAGTTCAGACTCAATTTACTTACACGCGAGCAGATAGACTCGAATTTTGTAAACGCTTCTTTTAATGACGAAGAATCGACTCCATATAACTTAACTTCATCGCATCTTTTGTCAACTACATTCACGTCTTGGACATTTAAAGTAAAGGCAAATGTTTGACTGCATTTAAGTGATTGAAGGATGCTGTTTCCATCTCTCGTCAACTCTCCCCGAATGTTGATACTTAAGTCGGACAGTGGGCATGAGTTAACTTTGTCAAAGTTCTCAGCCAAACAGGTAGCAACACTATCTGTTACTCGTCCGTGGATATTCAAATTAACACAGGAAACTCTTGATGCTATCAGGAGTTTGCATAAATCACTTGCTCCACTGCAACTCAACTCTCCCCACATGTTTACAGTAAATGAATGCAGTTTAAACGCGCCAACTCTTTCATTTCGAACAGGACGAAGACAGGCCACCTGTTGAGTTGTTATTTTGCCAACTACGTCCGGTTTAATTGTAAGAGACATGGAGTACTGAGCAAGATATCTCTCCTCGTGGAACCTTTCCATAAAACGAACAAACTTTAAGCTTAATTACCTTCGATCAGCAGACAGATCGCAGACAGTGCAAGCCGCCCAAAAAACAAAAGTTGCAACAGTTCAAGAATCTTCGCTTACCGCCATGCTGACGGCCTAGCCACAACTCCACGTTGAGGTTCTAAATTACCCCATAGTTTACGCCATGTACAGGTATAACTGCAGTTAAAAAATACGCTCAGCTACGCATGTTTTGAAAGGCGAAAGTTCCCATCGCTTTCACGAAATTTCTTCCCAGAGTTCCCAAAGGGCTTTCTGTTTCCAAATATGGTGACAACTCAGCTATTACAAATAACCATTCTAAAGACTGGACTTTGAGGCAAAAGGATTGCGGAACTCCTACAGCCATTTCAAGATGCTTTTTGATTTTAAAATCTTCAGTCAAATTTCAAGTAGAAATAAACAAGAGACGATTAAACTCACCCAACAAAATTTTGAATAAATACGTTATCTCCCGCTGAGTACCAAACAAGTTCTCGATTATTTTTCCCCTTCGCCTGCTTGGGTTAAGAAAAGAAGAGGAAGGGGCAATAAGCTGGCAGGGGGAAATCATTGGGTCGGAATTTTTTTACCCGAAAGCCCTTGGCATATCACAGAGTAGGAATTTGGCGAGTTGAAACAAATCTGCTGTACTGTGCGAGAAATTCGAAATATGATGTCATATGCAGATGTACTTTCCCAAGAATGTAATTCAGCGAAATACATACCATTTTCAATGGAGGGTATATGAAAGAGGAAGAAATTAAGGTTAGGTCAACGAACATCCTCATACTTTTCGCATTAAAAGATGAACTTCAGTGTCAACCAAGCACTAAGCAATCACCAGGTAAAATGAATTACGTGCAGACATCATCTGACGGCGTTTACTTCCTACTCTCTTTCCAGGTGAGCTCAACATTCGAGGACGGCTTAAAGGCGAGTAAAATTAATCAGAACCGGTGTCCGACAAGCCAGACAACGTGAAGTTGGATAGGCTTCAGTGGGAGTTTTCTTGAACTTCTACAAAAATCTGCGCAATTCCGACCAGTAACCGATTTCTTTTTAGTTACAAACAGGATCACCCAGCGGTCTAGCTGTTTTCACTAACCGTAATGGCTGGTTTTCTTTCACGCCAGAGCTATACCCGGATGTGTAACGAGAAGAACAAAGCGTTACCAACCAATGAAAATTAAACAAAAGGGCACTGAAGCAGTGCATGGCGGTTAGGACTTCGTTGCTTATGATCAAATTAAAACTAGATTATGAGGGTCGTAAGCAACCGGATGGCAAGACAAGTGGCAGTCTGGTTGGTTGGTTCTTCCGTTTCAGCTTGCAACTCCAACAATTTAATTTTCATTGGATAAGAAGTGTAGAAAAAAAATGGAAACCGTGACGTTCTTTTTTTCTTTTTTCTGACTGCAATTCTGTCACGTATTCCGATTTTTATTTCCCGACGTTGCCGCCACATCAGGGTATAATTCACTTAATCTTAGCACTGAGCTGACATTGCTACATGCTGAATAATTCTCGCGTAATCTTTCTGCTTTATAATAAAACTGTGGAGTAAGAATGATACAAGCCCTTCTTTGTGACAAAATCTTGAATTCCTCCCCTTTGCTCCCATTAATCACCTTTCAATACAAAGATTGAAGAGTAATTTTATAATCCTCCTTACAAATTTATTACATATCGTAAAAAAGGTTGTTGAACTAATCGTGGTAGTGAAGTGCTATCGTCTGACTCACGATGAAGTCACTTCCAATGTTAGTCGCG